AAAAGCATATATATTGCTGAGGAACGATATTTTCCTCAGATTTAATCCTGTGTCGACCGCGGTTACTTCTCAGAGAACCTTGTGTACGTTTAACAAGATTCTCTTAAGACTTGTCTGTTTTTGTTATATTTGTCTTGAACAAATTTGGTTGTGAATAAAATATATTCTTTTATATATATTTGATCAGAAGTTGTTTATTTAATAACGGACAACAGTGGTCAAAAAATGATCAATTATTGATGTAGAAAGTATATTCATATCCAGCATCCGTTAACCAATATTCCGAAAAAGAAACACATAAATGAAAAGACGGACTATGAAAACCTCCGCTTTGAGCGTCTTATGCAGCAATTGTAGAAAACATTTATATCGCTTAATTTTTAGCTTGAGCCCTAAATTAATTTCATAACTGCAACTTGAAACGCGCGAAGTCCTCAAAAGATTTTTCTAAATATGCTTTTTCATTGTCTAAAATATGGATTTCCCGGTAGAAAGAGAAGCAAAATGAGTGTGAGGTGATACTTCCGACCTCTGCAACCTGAACTCTATATGTATGGGCCTAAATTGTGTGTCTGATCTTGAATAAAGGATGTAGCTCAACTAATTCAAACCATTTCGTCACCTGGAATGGGAAATTTGAGCTGGGGTTTCTTAAAACCACAACAAGAATAAAAGTGTGCCTTCTTGTAACCAATGCTGAAAATTCCACAGGCACAGTTGGAGCGAGTCCGTGATGAGCTAACCCTGCAGAACCTGACCCTCAAGTCCCAGCTGAGTGACATGCGGATCAGACTAAGTGAGATCCCTGCAAGTCCACCAGACAGTGGGATTGACCCAGATGCTTCCGGAACTTCGTCTTCTTCCTCAACTTCTTCGATCCCCATCAGCCCACGCCCTGTTTCCAGCACCAACAATAGCAAGGCTAAGCGTTATGCGACTTACAAAAAGGTCAGTTGAAAGCCTATCAAATATTTTGCCATGTGTATATAGGGAACAGAGTAGATTTTCATGCCTGAAATTTCTGTGCATGTTCTTGTTTGTGTCGCCCAGAATTATTTCTTTATTCTAATTTCAAGGGGTTGGAAGCCACATCTGGTTAAATAAAGATAAAACCCTGAACACAGCTCTGCCAAATGGGCAAAATTGCATATTCGTACCTATTAACTCATCAAATGTATGAGGAAAGCTGTATCCTCTTGAAACCCAATTTGTCTTTTGGGCTAATTAAGTTTTTCTTTTGGTAACAAATGAACGTATGCGGCAAAATTTTATACTGCAGTAATTAAAAAGATTTTGGAGGAACAAAACTGCACCTGGAATAAATTTGATTCGGAAAACACTGAACTGATTAATACTGGTGTAGGTGAAAACCAGGAATAGATCCATTGAAAGCACATTTGACTAAAAGGTAGCCAGAAAATCTGCATTATAAATGGTTAAAATATTGAATTCTACCACACAATCAGACCAAACTTGTCTGATGAGCACTGCTACTATCTTGAAGCTAACACCATGAATAGTTTGGCTTTTTTTTTATTGCGTTCTCACCTTGCCAATGTTGCATGAGTTCCTATGTGTGGGACCCAATGCATATGTGAGCCATTTGTACCCAATTTACTACACCCAAGCAGGTTGACCAATAATGCGTGATGTTTTTGCAGCAGGAATCAATTTTTTCCGGAGATCTGAAGAACATGCGACTCCTGATAGCCAGTTCAAAAAGGAACGAATCCGAGCTGAAGAAGCGCATTCACGAGTTGGAAGGTGAAAAGCAGGACCTGCGGCGGAGAAACGAAGAACTGCTTGGCTTGCTCGCATCAGCAACGAGTCCCAAGACCCAGCAGCAGGAGCAGCAACTGCTTCTGCAGCAACAGCGTGAGCAGGAAGGCAGTGCACAGTTGGCAGCTGCATTGCACCGTGTTCACGAGCTTGAGACCCAAGTTCAGCAAAGTGCAGCCTGCCTCGAGGAAGAGCGTTTCCTGCGAATGAGGTTGGTATAAGCCAGATGCTATTGTATCTTAATGATCCTATGCTCAGTTGTCCATTTCCGTTGAAGAGACAAATTTTAAAAAGGAACAAATGAAGCATTACAGGTCGATACTCTCCAAAAAGTAGTTTTGTTGAGAAAAAAAAATCTCTCTGTGACTGATTTTTTCTGGTCCCTTGAATTTTATTGTAAAGAAAATCGAACAGTAATTGATAACAATTGATTGAAAAAATAACCTGCATTATGTCCAATGATATCAGATTTAATCAGCCATTTTTAGTTACCAATTTTACATTTATCAATGCCCCGGTGTTATTAGCAGAAAATCAAACAGTAATTGATAACAATTGATTGAAAAAATAACCTGCATTATGTCCAATGATATCAGATTTAATCAGCCATTTTTAGTTACCAATTTTACATTTATCAATGCCCCGGTGTTATTAGCTGTTCAAATCATGCTGTTGGCACTTCTTCATTAACCCTTGGATGGCGACAGGCCTCTGTCTATACCACAGCAATGTTGAGATTGTTTGCACACATGTGCATTCAAGTTTGAGTGAAGGTCAGCAAAATGCACCTGGGTTGAGAAGGTATAAGTTGGGGGAAATCTGGACCTTTTGTTTGCAGAAATCTTCAATCATGATTATATGTTGGTAACGCAGGAAGAAACACCCCTGGCAGGATGTTTTTCACACAAAGTTTTCTGCTGGCACAAAAAAAAATATATGACTTTCTCCTGGCTGATATGGCCTTGTTACTCAGTTCAGGGTTTTTTTCAATGCTCTTGGGCACAAAAGTTCATGAAAATATCCTGACTTTAACACACAAGTTTTAAAGAATAAAATTTGAAGGATCTAACAAATTAGTCACTTCAAGGATTTACTTCAAGAGCTTGCCCTTTAATATATGGTTTAAAAATTTGGACAAATACAGCACACCACTGTGAGGAAAAAAATCAATTCAACTGTAGTACTTCAACAAAATGGTCTGATTGAAATGTGTGCACTGAAAAATGACCGCTATAACAAATGTTTTGAGTGATGAAAGAATTGAATACTTCACCTCTAGCTAGAGAAAGACAATGCCACATTTAAAATTTTCAAAATCTCCTGTTCCAGAATTCCCTTTTTTTCAATGGAGCATCAGCACTACATTATGGGGAAAAATAAAACTTGCCCAGTTTTTCAAATGTTTTTTTCTGGTCAAGAATTGAAAATTACAGTTTTATGTGCATTTGTGAAGGAAGTGTTGTTAATGGGCAAAATTGCTCCCAACTGCTTGTTTTTTCCTTTGAAGGTGAATATACAGAGTATCTAAAAAAAAGTACCTGTTTGGACCTGTGTTTACATGATTCATTGACAATTATAGCAGTTTTCCTGAGCCCTTGTCTACTAAATCATACTCCTAAGCAAATCTGAACTTGTCAATTCAAAAAAGAAAGGAAAACTTAATCTGGATCTTCTATCATACCTTTTACAGGTACCACAATGAGGTGCAGGATTTGAAGGGCAAAATAAGGGTTTTTTGCCGAGTGAAACCCCTGCAACCTGCAATGGGCGATGGACGGGCAGTTGTCATGTGTAGGGACTTACAAAGCCTGTCTGTGGCAGCGTCCAATGATGGAAGTCGACGTTCATTCAGCTTTGATCGGGTTTTTGGGCCAAATGATGGACAGGACACAGTTTTCTGCGATGTACGAGGTCTCATTCAATCTGCTGTGGATGGCTACAATGTCTGCATTTGCGCCTATGGACAAACAGGGTCTGGGAAGACTCACACAATGCTTGGGGATGATGCAAATCCAGGCATTGCCCCACGTGCTTTTGACGAGCTTTTCAGGTCTTTAGATACTGCTTAAATTAGCTTATATGAATGAGATTTCTATGCACAGAAAGGTATTTTTGTTGGTTTTTGTAAAGTTCATATCCTTTTTCTTGGATATTTGGTTTGAAAAAATGGATGATCATATTCTTTCAGTTTTCCAGTCATGTAGAAGTAACTTTATTGCTCCTGAAAAGGTCCATGTTTTTTATGTATGTATGCATTAAAGAACGTAATGTTCCTGGCCTTCTTTAATTTTAAACCTTGTAAAGAATTATTTACAATACAAAGCGCATTTAAATTTCTTTCAGCTATCAAATTATGTAGAGATCAATTTATTGGTACTAAAAAGTCCATATTTTTATGCAATTGCACATCGAAAAACTTGACGTTCCTGTTCATCTTTAATTTTTAAAATTTCCAAAAATTGCTCACAGTCTGAAACAAACTTTATGTTCTATTGGCTGTCAAGTGGATGGAGGTAACTGGATTTCTCCTGGAAAGTCAATGTGTTTTATACAACTCCAAATGGAAAATCAAAACAATTGTGTGCTTCTACAATTGCAGACTTTTCAAAAAAAATTTCATAGCCAAAAGCCCAAAGAAAATGCAGGCATATTTTTCTCACAACTGCATGAAAAATAATGTTCAATTAATATTTAAATATATTTTGATCATTTGCCATTAAAAAAAATTAGATTATATATTTTTTAATCCTCTACTCAATCAAGCAATATGAGAATCTTTTTTCTCTGAATACAGGTTGATACGATCAAGCACAGACCGCTGGCATTGCTCGGTGTCAGCTGTGATGCTTGAGTTGTACCAGGACCGATTAATTGACCTTCTACGACCATCAGTGCTGGGTAAGATTAATGATGGAAGTCGACGTTCATTCAGCTTTGATCGGGTTTTTGGGCCAAATGATGGACAGGACACAGTTTTCTGCGATGTACGAGGTCTCATTCAATCTGCTGTGGATGGCTACAATGTCTGCATTTGTGCCTATGGACAAACAGGGTCTGGGAAGACTCACACAATGCTTGGGGATGATGCAAATCCAGGCATTGCCCCACGTGCTTTTGACGAGCTTTTCAGGTATTTATATACTATTTAAATTAGCTTATATGCATGAGATTTCTGTGCACAGAAAGGTATTTTGTTGGTTTTTGTAAAGTTCATATCCTTTTTCTTGGATATTTGGTTTGAAAAAATGGATGATCATATTCTTTCAGTGGTCAAGTCATGTAGAGGTAACTTTATTGCTGCCCCTGAAAAGGTCCAAGTTTTTTATGTAAGTATGCATTAAACAACATAATGTTCCTGGGCTTCTTTAATTTTAAACTTTGTAAAGAATTGTTTACAATACAAAGCTCATTTCAATTTCTTTCAGCTGTCAAATTATGTAGAGATAAATTTTTTGGTACTAAAATGTCCATGTTTTTATGCAATTGCGCCTGGAAAAACTTGATGTTCCTGTTCATCTTTAATTTTTAAAATTTCAAAAAATTGCTCACAGTCTGAAACAAACTTTATGTTCTATTGGCTGTTGTGTTGTGTAGAGGTAACTGGATTTCTCCTGGAAAGTCATTGAGTTTTATACAACTCCAAATGGAAAATTAAAAGAATTGTGTGCTTCTTCAATTGTAAACTTTGCAGAACAAATTTTACAGCCAAAAGCCCAAAGAAAATGCAGGCATATTTTTCTCACAACTGCATGAAAAATAATGTTCAATTAATATTTAAATCTATTTTGATCATTTGCCATTTTAAAAAATTAGATTATATATTTTTTATTCCTCTACTCAATCAAGCAATATGAGAATCTTGAAAGAGACTTATGTCCAACTATGCTAGTTCGTGTCTGGCGACCGTAACGAGCCACAGTCGACACTACGAACTCAACATGGTCCTGGCTAATTAACTGGAAGATGCTGGTAGTCACGACCCATTCTAATTTTTAATGTTCCTTTCTTTTGGGAGCTAGGAATAAATCCCATGTGATCTCATTTTTGTCAACAACAAATACATCTGCATTTTATGCTGGGTGCCAAAACCTAAAGAAAGCTGGAGAAAATGTTCAGAAGAATTCCATAATGCAGTTTGAACTGAGACACATTTGAGTACTGTACTCAGGGAAAGGTCTGAAACCTAGAGTTCTGGACTTGACAATACTTCAGGGAGGAATGAGGGGTATTCCAAGAACACAGCTCATCCTTAACTAGGGTTCTTAAATAGACTTGGACAGGAACTTCTCCAATTTGTTCTCCAGTTTGTTAAAAATCAGGAGTAAGTTCTTGTGGCCAGACAGCACCATGGCAAATGCACTGTGCTGCATTGGTAGGACTGGGTCCTGCACACGCACCAAAGGAAAGCTCATGCCTGACAAAGCAACTTTCCAGCCCTGATGTGGCAAACTTTTGCAGTTCAGAAAACCTGCAATGAAATGGGATTCAACCAAGGGCAACAATTGTTGCACCTGGCTCAATCCCTGAGTGTTCCTGGCACGTATCAAAAAGCTGGGCATTAGGCACAGCAAAACAGTCTTTCCCTTCAGGCACTCTTGCTGCAGTCTTCTTGAAATTTTCATTTTAGTCTCCCTTCTCAAGTTCTATCAGGCTTAGTTTTCTTTTCCATCCCAGTTTGATAACTGCATTTTTTTGTTGTGACCTCTTGTGATGGTGATGGGACCTGTGATGAGCCAGAGATGAATATAGGCAAATATTCCTCTCAACAAAAGTTAAAGGTTTTGCATTGCTCCTGCTTTGAGGCCCATGCACCTTGGCTGATCTAATTTCTCTCATTTTCAGCTTTACACCTGTCAATTTCAGCCTGGCTTAAGTCCCAAAAAAGTTTGAATACAATTGTTTCTCTACTTCAAGATACAGAAATTTCTACAGAACAGAAGCATGTAGAATAGTCTGATCTTTTGGCATTAACAGGAATACAGTGAATTTTTTTTAGGTAGAAGCATGATTTGTTCAAGAGATATCCAAATTTCAAAAAATGGAATCCTTTCAATGAATGGAAAAGTGTCAGTATCTCCAGACATTGTCTGGATAGGGATAGATATTCTCCAGTTTCAAGTGTCCATAAGTCAAATTGTCCATATGTTGGGGTTCAATTGTGCTTGTACAATTATATTTTTTGTTTTGAATGCAGGGTCAGACTCATCTGTGCCACGGCTTGAAATAAAACGAGATGCTGGAGGACTTGTGCATGTGGCAGGGGCCTGTGTTCAACCTGTGGCATCCGCAACTGAACTGCGCCAGCTGTTCCATGAAGGTGCCAAGGGGAGACATCGTGGTACCACACGTATGAATGTAGACAGCTCCAGGTCCCACCTTGTCTTGAGTTTGCTGGTTGAAACCCGTTCTAGATTGTCTGGCGCTACCCTCCGTGGCAAGGTAATCCCTGAAAATACCCACCTGAATGAACGCTGTGTTTGGAAATGGACCTCAAAAAATAAAAGTGTATGGTGAAAGCTTAATTTCTTATAAAACCAAGAAATTTAGCACTGAATTTCTTGAGAGTGCTTTTGCATTTTATGAAAGCTTTACAGTTTAGCGCATCAAACTATGTTCCAGAAGCCATGAGAACAAAGTTAAATTTATTTTCTTTGGGTCTTTGGAAATTTTGCTGATAACTTATCATTGATGTTACAATATGATCATTGTGATTGCTGGTATATTTATACGTGAACTGGGGAATGGTTCCGGTAATATTCATTTTGGGAATTACCTGAAGAAATGCTGATCCTTCTTGACAACTCAAAAAATTACAACTTTCGTAATATTGATTTTTGTATTTAATAAGTAGAAAAAAGCTTTTATTGCCAGATTATTATTGTAAGTGAGAGCTCCTTGGAGCAGGGTGAAAATAATGAAGCAACAGACCTGGTATTTTTGTGTTTGTTGCAACTGATGACATCAGCTTTATCCCATATATTACCCATGCTAAAATCCTATGCAAATGCGCTGCTCCAGACCAAATTATAATGTCTGCACTGCATATTAAATTAATCCTTACTAAAGAAATTATGTATTTGATGTTCTGCAGTTGAGCCTGATTGACCTGGCAGGCAGTGAGAGAGTGAGCAAAAGTGGCGCAATTTCCTGTGGCACACTGCTCAAGGAAGCAGCATCCATCAACCGCAGCCTGTTTGCCCTTGGTGATGTTATTGCAGCCCTTGTTGCTGATGCACCGCATATCCCGTACAGGAACAGCAAGCTTACCAGTCTCATGCAGGACTGTCTTGGGGGGCGGGCTAAAACACTCATGATCATCAATGTGTCTGCAGCTGCGTGCAACCTGGATGAGACCATCAGCTCTCTCATGTATGTTAACACTAAACAGCCAAACCTTCATAAGTCACCATTGCCATTTGTTTGTGGCAGTTTGATGAGGTTGACAGTTCAGAGGGGGTTGGTGGTTGATCTCAAGAGAGCTGAAAAAATATGAAATCAAGTACTGTATAACAGAAAATGATATTTGTATTCCTCTAGAAAGGAACAAAATTAACCCTGGGATGTATAAATTATATCTAGCTAGTGTCCCCATGCAAGAAGTAAATCATGTCAGGTTTGTGTGTGTGTGTGTGTGTTTTTTTTAGACCTATCAAAGAAATTTGAATTGTGTAGACTGTTGAAGAAAAAACTAATTTTGTTGGGAAGAGAATGTTTAAGTTGTCAAAAATTTCAGTGAATGATGTTTTAATAGGGTTTATAATGTTATTGTCTTTGGGAAATATTTGTTTTTAGAAAAAATGACTGCATCGCATATAAATTTAAATAAAGCCCTTGAAACCTATTGTGCAAGTCTTTGAAAGGAGGAAAATATTGAGCAAAAAATCATCCTCTTCTGTTGAATAGTCATAGTATTATGCTTATTTGCATGACCATATAAGTTGAACATTGATTATTTAAAAAAAAGTAGATTTTGAAGCAGCATAAAATTTGAGTGGAATTACGTGGTACTCAAGTAAAAGTGGGCGTAACTAAGACTGTGGAAAGTGTTTTTAGTCATTGAAACTAATTTATGGAATTTTGAATAAGCAGTATTTGAATGAGAATAAGCATTCACTTTTTAAATTTAAAACCTTGAATGAGAAGGCTTGCATATGTCCACAACAAAATGTTCAATATTTAGGGGGGGAAAGATTGTCAGGCCTGTGACCTTCATTGTCTGGGAAGTCCACAGCAGTTTCTAAAATTTTCCTAAACTTATTCTTCCTTTTTTTCTGCAGGTATGGAACTCGGGTCAAGCAAGTCACAAATGCTCCTTTGCAAAATCAGCTCAATGGGTCAAGCAACAGGTCGGCACAATGAAAGTCAGCATTTTGTCTTTTGCTTGGGATGATTTTTTTAAAGTTGCAAGTGTGAGAGAAAAAAGGATGCATTCTGTTTCATATTTTGTAGTTTTTTTCATATTTCCAGTATTGCCACTCGATTTTGCAACCATTGAAGGGGGACAAAGCATAGAGCAAGTAGTATCACAACTTGTGGGCATGAGAAAATGTAAAAAAAACACCATCAGGTTTCAAAAATGCATGTCATAATCAGGTGGACGTCGCAAAGGCCGATGAGCTGCTGTGGTTGATGCTGGAGATGCTGCTCTGCTCCAGTTCTCTCTTTGTCTGCTGATTCGCAATGATGCCTTCTGAAAAATACAAAGATGATGGAAACTAGGTAGAAGAATGAACAAGAGCAGAAACATAAACTTCTCATAAAAATTATACTCCTATTATCCCTCAAAAATCCATCTAGGAAATCATATCTTTTCCATTGCAAAAATTATTGTCTTGAATGAAAATTGATTGCAGCCTAAGAGGGCGCTACAAGATGAACATTTTCAAATGGAACACAATGATGACCAACACGTGTAGCAATCAATTTATAAAAGTGGACATCAGGCTGCAAAATTGTTGAACTTGAACCCAATTAAACATATGCATAGTTGTCCTGGTTTTTATATAACATAGTCAAGATTAAACTTCACAAAAAGAAATCATTTTCTAAACTTCACAGGTGATTGGTTGACATCAGCAAAAGCTTTATTTCTTTTTTCAAACAGAAACAGAAAACATACATTTACAGAATAAGCTGCTAAAGCTTTTACCATCAATTCACCAAGTTGAATTTGTGTCAGCCAAATTCTGAACCAATACACCAATGACAAAATCTCACAGCATTCGTAATGTTAATTTTTAAAAATGTGTCTTGTGGCTGAAATGACAATCAATCCATCCAATGTTTAACTTTAAGAATTTGTGTCAGCCAAATTCTGAACCAATACACCAATGACAAAATCTCACAGCATTCGTAATGTTAATTTTTAAAAATGTGTCTTGTGGCTGAAATGACAATCAATCCATCCAATGTTTAACTTTAAGGTTATGCTGTAAATGAATGCAATGAACATGATAACAAAGCTTTTTTGGTCAAGAAGCAAATAAAAACCAAACATATCATCTGGTTTTAACTTGATCTCAGCTATAAAACCAGAATCAGTCTACCTGACCCAATATGACACAATCACTTTTCAAAAGGTGCCTCTCTGGTTGCTGATAGATGCTCAATAAATTTGTTCTTACTGGTATTCTGCCTCCACCCAGAGACGCTGCGTAAGGTACTTGTCGTTTCTCCATGTTGGTCTGCCAAAAAAGTGACGAGTCATATCGCATCAGTGCTGCGACACTAGCTTCTCGTTGCTGTTGCAGCTGTTGCTGTCGTCTGTCGTCCAATTGTCTCCTACCTCGTTCACGCCAACGTCTTTGAGCCTGAAATTCAGCACGGAAGTTGCGAAATCGCGGGGTATTAGTGATATTGGCCACACACAAAAAAGTCTCAGTTCTACAGAGCTTATAATAGAGTTTTCAGGGGGCTTTACGGCAATTCTAGTCAAAATGAAAAGTAGACTGTGAAGAGGGGAAACGCCGTATTCACTTGCGTGTCTCATCACAATTTTCCTCGAAATTAGGCTGAAAATTCAGGTGCACCTCATTATTGAGTACACACGTTTTCTGAAAACTTTTTCGAATTTTTGGTGCCGTTAATACCTATTCAGTGATATATAAAAAAAACAACCTCTCTTCCTATTCATTTTTACATATGACATAAAAGTATCACACAGGTTGGTCCAACGTGTAAAATGCTACCCTAACTAAAAAACTTTCATACTAAGTTTTACATTCCAATCGGAACACGTACTGGCGGTGGGTACTGCAGGTCGCCAATTGAGTGTGCCTCAAAGGGGTTAAAAGAGGCTCAATGAATGGGTTTCTAAAAATGCAAAGATTGCTTCGTAACCCAAGGTAAAAAACACAAAAATTGTTTGCCTAAGAAGCGGCGCCGTATGTGTGCAGTAACGTCGCCTCGGAATGTGCGTTTTATGGTGAGCAAAAAATAAGAAATATAATTATTATACAGCCTTATTATCGCATGCTGGACAGTACCCATCAAGATATTTAAAAAAGTTTCCCAACATAACCCTCAACGAGACGCTTTACTTCATAGAAAATACCTAATGCAATTCAAATTAATTCCCGTGTCGGTTTAGAGAGAATATACATTTAAAAATTTTGAATTTCTGATTTTTCCAGACTTCCGTGCCATAATTCTTCTGGGACGTTTCCCAAGGATGGCAAAAATACGACGGCATCCAGAAAAACAATTTCCATCCTTTCTGGCGATATAACGATGAGCAAGTACATGTTTATCCCCATGACGATAGAATATACTCTACAGTATCACACAGTATATACAGCATATCACCCTCTTTCAGGTGCTCAGCACATTATACATACGCCCTGGTTATAGAATCAAACGTGCTTATGTCGTATTCAAGTTTGAAGCCAGTTACTCATGAAATGTTGAGAAAAATGCTGCATATAGCATTTCCAAGACGTCCATATAAAAATTCCCAAGGATTTTCAAAAGATTGCTTGCACGCCACAAAAAAATTCTGCAAGGAAATGAAGAGAAAACGATTACGGAACCATGAAATAAAAATTATATATACCGAACCCGCGGGTACCTCAGAGGTAAAATACATCACCCTCAGGTAAAATACATCACCCTCCTTCTCGTGCTCGTAATACTTGCGAAGTCTTCTACCCTGTCTGAAGTTAAGTAGCTATTCGAGACTAGATTCCCCGCTGTGAGTACAAAATGGTTTTTTCCCCCCGGGACCAAAGTTGAATGCACATATTTGCATACCGTCGTAATTCCGAAGGCCAGTGCGAGCATCAAAGAAGCGGACACAGTGAGGACTATGACTGCCACAGCCCACTGCGGCATGGACGGGCGGTTTTCTTCAGTGGCCTCACTTCTGCTCTCTTGGGCTTCATCTCGTAAAACTAAAGCAGAATGAAAAAAAAATTAAAATGACACACCATAGTTTCACTGAAGCCATCTTTCCACAGATCGTAAAATGACGTTGTTTATACTGCATATACAGGGTGGGTCATGAAAAAAGTGAACTCATTGCTTGGTAGCAAATTGAGCTGTGGAAATGAAAATGGCATCAAAATGAAAGCTTTTTCAATTCCCGTTCAAATGGTATGTCATTCTCTGGTCCCAAGTGCAAAGACCATTTGAATGAAAACTTTCCACAAAATAAGGGTTCAGGGAACTCCTTCCACTAAGCTGCTGTTCTTCTCAGAGCTGTTTTCAAGGATGTACATGATGCAGGGCCAGTAAATTAACCAGCAAACTTCATGCTGCCTTTAAGAAAGTGCACACATTCCCAAAATTCAGGAGTTAAGGTCCAGAAATGCAAAAAAATTGACAAGTGGGATGTTGCTTCACTCCCACATCCGGACGTAAGCTTGCTGTTTGTGATGACAAAAGTGATGACTGGTCATTGTGATTCTATTCCTGTTATTAGGATCTTCATGCTTTTTCCTTAAATAAAACGTTTTCTCAAACCATGGAAGGATTACCGGTACTTTCCTGTTATCTCAGTACCTCATTCCAAGACCACACTACCATCCAGACAAATCTTTAGGACAAGTTCATAATCACAACAACCACTCATTTTGTTTTTCCGCATTCTGCTGAAACTGATCTTGGGAGGTGGTTAGGTAAAGTTAGGTTAGGTCAGGTTATGCTAGTTAGGTTAGGTCAGGTTAAATTGGTCAGAGGGAAGGTACAGAAATAACAGAAAACGAGGTACTGAGATAACAGAAAACAAGGTACTGAGATAACAGAAAACGAGGTACTGAGATAACAGAAAACGAGGTACTGAGATAACAGGAAAGTACCGGATTACCTAAGTTCTTGAGAATACGTTCCTTAAAAATATTAGTCTATGTGTATACCATGTAATCTCACTGGCTCTGGAAAGATGAAATCGAGACCCAAAGAAAAATTTTCTTGTGTCCACAACAACCCCAGTACATCTGGAATGTTTCAGACGATGCAAAACTTCATCCCAAACTTTGACCAAAACCCCAAGTTCGTCAAATGAAAACGAGACCCGTGGAATAAAGGTACCAGAACAAGACCTCATTGCCTGTTGTTTTTCACGCGGCAACTTTAAAAGTAAATTTTTAATTCTCTTCGCATGAAAGCAAAATGTATACTTTTGTTTCATGCTTTCGCAAAATATCGCTTTAACTTCATCGATTCGAGTTCTTGCAGAACATGGGTTTCCCACCTCTTTCAGGGATACAAACCTTACGAAACTAATCAGTGCTAACACATCACCTTTAATCTTTGATTTGAATTCTTAAAAATGCTTTGTTCTAAAATTTCAATTTAAAATGTCAATGTTGATTTATAAATTCGGGTTTAATGAGTATTCTACAGAAATGAATTTCGAAAAGATATGTCTTTTCGTTTTAATTCCTCGATCGCTGAATCAATTTTTTTCGAGTTACAGTAATGCCATCCCTATTCAAGTCTTATTCGCAACAGAAATTATGATTTTCCGTTATTCCAGAAGCCAGAACAAAAAGCCTCACCGATGAAGTCAGCATAACTGGGATCCAAAGTGTATGGCCCAAGTTGGCAGCAAGTAGCTGCTGTCCCAGCAGTGGCGGAGGTGGCGGCCAACAAAAGTTGACTGACGTGATCGGGGTCGACTGGGCGTAGATCCAAGTCTCGCAGCCACAACACGACGTCGACGATGACACTGGTGTCGGGATCTAGGTGACGAGCCGTGCTGAACGCCTCCACTTCCACATGGTCGAACCAGTGCTCCAGAGAGCTTCTGCGAAAGACTTCCTCCAACTGAAGAATATACAGTACAGTAAATATTTTTTTTTCTCAGTGGTAATTCATCGAGACTTTTAATATTATATCGTATACAATTTTTTTTTTCGAGCTGGTTCTTGAAAAACCTAGGTTACGACACCTGAGAGTTTCAAGCACTGTAAAGACCGCCGTGCCACAGTCTCATCGCTGCAACTTGAAATCAAAATTTTGCTATATATATATAGTATATGAGAAAACCAAGTTTTTTCAATAACCTGGAACCTTAATTTTATTTCCCAGAACGCTTCGACCTAGCGACATTTTGCTGTGCCTAGTCTTTGGTGTCTGAGAATTTTCCTAGTTCTCCAATACTTGGAGTTGATAATCAGGATCAGTTTCAGTCTTTGCTTGATGCCAGGAAATATTTTGCAGCAATTTGAAGAAACGTTTAAGGCCTTCCCAATTTTTCTTTTGCGCGTTCTGCTCAAAATCCATCATTTCGTGGCCTTCAGTGACCCGGAACTGATGAAACTTGAAGCTCCAGGTTTTATGCCTCCAAAGATGAAATAAAAAAATTAAGAACCTTTCGATTAATTAATTTAACGATCCCTTTTCGCACCAATGGCTCTCAGGAGTGCCTGATTCTTGAACGAAGCTCCAACGTTTTCCCGAAGACGTTCGGAGCAAAAATGCAAACTTTTATAAAGCCGAAGAGGAAAATTATTCTTTGTGTTAAGCAAGTGGTGGTCTTCATTTTTCAGAGACTATGGAGATTTTTAAAATTGTTTTGTCCTTTGTATCCGGTCCACAGAAATGATGGAAGACAGTAACCAGTGGACCAGCAAACCGACACAATTTTTCGTTCAGCATCCACTATTAAAAACCAACCGCGTGTTTATTTTTATTCATATATTTTTTGATCATCGGAATTGTGCAGATAACATGTACTAGAAAACAGTTTGTTGTTAATACCACAAAAATAATTTGTGGTATTTTCCGACACCAGAAAAAAACATGCTCCTAAAATCAGGTGATTAAAGTTTTCCGATACACCTTGTGATAAGAACCATGTCCGATATTATCGTTTCTCTGGGAATATCTCGCTGTCATGCGTCATTTTTCAATTAAATAATATTCTGGATCCTATTGATCGACGTTTTCCGTGCTTCTGTGTGCACCTTCGAAATTATGAATTATCTAAATCTTATAAATTACCGGAAATGCCTAGTCCAAAATGGCTAATTTTGTGCTAGTTTTTTCAGAGTTCTTTCCATCGTCTGAAAAGGAATAATTAAGCTTTTTCCTGCTTTTTGGGCTCTTTCAAAAGACAGAAGATTAGACTATGTGCATTTTATTCTTCTAGGCCTTTATTTTCATCTTGAAGTCAAGAAAAATTAATTTATTCAATGTTCGGGGGACTTTCTCCTGATTTTTAATGAATAGGAAGTTTCCGACTTGAATAAATTCCCATTGAATTGTAAGTGAAATGGAAATGATTGATAGTTTACCAATCAGGAGAAACGCGGATTTTCCGACATAGGGACAAGGTCCAAGTACCAATTACAGTAGAATCTCATTACAACGAATCTCGTTTCAATGAATTTTTGCTTACAACGATTTTTTTAGTCCCGGCAGTTATCCTTGAGGCTCAGCTTAAATTAATCTCGTTATAACGAATTTATTTTCTACTGACTCTCCAGTTATAACGAATTTATTTTCTACTGACTCTCCAGTTATAACGAATTTATTTTCTACTGACTCTCCAGTTATAACGAATTTTTTCCTAATTTTTAAAATGTTTAATTCGATTTTCAGATTTTTTGTCCCAAATTTCCAAATTGTTGGTCCCCAATTTTCATATGATAATTTCCTGAGGCTCATCATCCCCAAGTAGTGGAATGCAGCAGAATTACACACTCAAAAATACAGGAAGTTAAAAATGGGTCACATTAGCTGACTGGCAGGAAGCCCATAAAATAAATGTATCCTGATTAATCTAATATCCAAGGTCTCAGGAGTTTGGAAGCACAGTGCCTATAGCTAGCCACAAAAATCTGTGATAATCTGTTCTTTTCCCGATGCTCTTCTGTGTTGAGGTCTTTCTCCAATTTTTAAATCAATTTTCAAATGTAACCATTTTGTGAAAGGCATCTATTGGTACAGATAATGCAGAGAGAAAAAACAACAGCAGTTCTTCAGACAATAAAATGCTTTTACAGATGATGAAGTGTATTTCTGTTAATACCAATCTCGATATAACAAATTTTTCATTACAACAAAATTTTTTTCCAGTCCCTGGGAGTTCATTTTAATGAGATTCTACTGTATGTCCAAATCTTGGGGCCCAATGGTACTTTAGTCTTCAAACAGATGGAGTTTATCAACCGCGGAAACTTTCGGTCATGAAAAATTCTCCGTGACTTAATTTTTTCGGTTAAATCGGGTAAGGCCTGTTCTATTTTTAAGAAAACGCATTGTTTTTTTTTTACCTGCGTCTTGAGTTCCGTGGTGAGATGTTTATGATATGCTGAAGTGTTGTCCCACAAGGCGGGAGACCAATCAGCACCTGACACGATTCTCAGACTGGCCGCAAGTCGACACTCAGTGCCACAAACCGCGAGTTTCCTGCCACGCCTCTGTTTGGCAGTTGTCGACGGATTCAACACCGGTGTCGTGGCTGACGTTGACGTCAAAGTCGCCGTGGTCGAGGTCGACGATGTCGATGTTGTTGTTGTCGTTGTTGTTGTTGTTGTTGTTGTTGATGATGCTGTAGTTGTTGTTTGCATCGTGGTCGTCGCCGGGGTTGTAGTTATTGATGACGGGTTTTCCGAAGTGGAGAAAGTCGTGACGGGTCCTGCAACTGTTTCGGTGTCTTGCCCATCGCCGTCAACGTCGACGTCGTAGTAATCCTCGGGCGGGTTCGTCGTCGGAGACGGGACAGTGACGAGAACCATGCCCGGGGGCAAGTACTTGGCAAGCTCGCTGGCATCCATCGTGGCCAGGATCCTTTGCAATTGCTTCGTATCCCTTTTGGTACACACATTTTTTTCGCCATCAATGAAAAGTATTTCCGGGGCTCTCTTTTTTTTTCACGTGCAAAAAAAAGCCCTTGACCGGAAGCCAAATACACATTCTGAAGGAAGGCCGCATGAAATGGAAAGGCGCATTTTATTTGGATCATTCTCCAAGAGCCGTAAAATAAATTTACAACTTTCTGATGGGAAAAATTGCATTCTAGTTATCTCGATGCTGGAGGGGAACACAATCATTGCTTTACGATGGGTTGGTAGTCGATCACGGTGGAAATGGCTCATTATTTCTTCGTCGATTATGTGATTGCCACAAAGGCATGGCTTATGGGAAAAATTGCATGTTTGCATATATTGCTGAAGCATGCTTAATACAAGGGTTGTTCGTGGTTTCCGCGAGCTCGAGAAACACAATTTTCCTCGTACTTTTCATTATTTATTCCAATGATTTATTTTATCGAGGCATCACTCGAGAATATGGGAAATTTTCAGCACTCTGCAGCACCCAGACCATGGATATAGAATGTATTAGAGTTTCTGATACGTTTATGGCTTTGATTGTGTTCCCAAAAGGAAGTGGAATATTTCCTGAATCTTTGCGGAACAATAAATGGAGAACTTCTGCCTGATTTGATCATCAATAGATTTAAACGTAGCATATTCATCATGGGGTATATAAACGAGCAAAAAAATCCTGTGCAGTATTGAATTATTCAAAATTAGCAGTCCTTCTGGATTCTAAAAATTGGTTCATTCTGAGGCCAGAGTAAAATCTTGTCACGACAAATACTGTTACAACAAAATTTTCAAAATAACAAACTTTTTCTCAAGTCGTGGCAGAAAGCCCATAAAGTGCATGTTCAAACCATCTCATAATACTGTAACAACATTCCGAATTCAAGTTTAACAAACTTGTTTGATAAGTGTTTTAATAGATTCTTCACGCTGAAATTTCCTGAATACCACAGGCACCATCTCAAATTTCCAATCCCAAATGTGACTGACTAGCTTTTGTAGCATGGACCGAAGCTGCAATGAATGACAAAATGCTTCTAAGTCATCCTCCCAGAATGAAGAGAATGGTACAATTGATGGGATGCATTATTGAAGTTAAATTTCTTCAGGAGATCAATCAGTTTTTCAACAGATGAAAAAAATATTCCAAAGTCAGAAATGCAGGATTTAATTTATTATAGGCGGGTCTGACGTGAAAAAATTTTCCAGACATCGATTTTGAAAATTTTGCTACAAGAAATTATTTTGTCATACAAAGATTTTCGATTGTAACGAGATTCTAGTTTTGACTTTGATATTTCTGCGCTTCTGTTTTTTTTTTTTAATTAACTCACGGTTCGCGTTGCAAAGGGTTGTCTGTCGCGTCGACGACGCTGACACGGGCATCCGACGGGATGGTGGGCACAGGAATGTTCTCGTCAGGTTCTTCCATTTCGACGTTTTCCGCATGTCGTAAACTGTCGTCATCGGGATGAAAAACCCGCGCGGCTTGTACAAAGGCGTAAAGGCGCGTCAAGCCTGGCGGCGACAGCCGCCGGGGCGGCCGCGGCGGTCGTGCCACAAATTCGAACAGGGACGACGGACGATGGTAAACGGCTTCTTCCTCGGGTACCCAGCCGCTCCAGTGTGGCGCCGCTGCAGGAAAATAATTACCGGAATTTTAAAACAAAACGTGGAAATCGCCTGTTTAACGCGTGCTTAGCAATCAAGTTCGGGCTGAATGAAGCAGACACTAATCATGCATGTAATGTACATTCAATGAAGAGACACTTTCTGAAATCTTAAAGGATCAAGACAAAC